GAGAAGCCATCTCTATGCAAATAGCAGAATAGATTGTCCTGCAATAAAAAACACATTCTGGTAAGTCATTAACTCTTTCAACTCCACTGCTTTTTAAATGCTGACCACACCATGTATGTGCTAGTCCCCACTTGATAGTTCCTTCTTCTTGAATTTGCTACCCAGCAGAGCAGGTTTTTGTGTGCCAGGCACCAAAGCCTGTTCACAAAACCTTGGTACTGTTTTGCTGTCTATTTAGAAGGGAAAATGCTACTGACTTTTAATAAGCAGCACATACAGCAGTTTGCATCTTCAAAGAGCTGTCCAAAAATCAACAAGCTAGTCTTCATAGTCTGCTTATGGGTTGGTAAATACCTTCACCCCTATCATACAAAGAGAAAAAACAAATGGAGCTTGAGCAACCTGGTCTAGTGGAAGGCGTCCCTGTCTATGGCAGGGGGATTGGAACGAGATGATCTTTAAGGTCCCTTCCAACCCAGGCCATTCTATGATTCTATGATCAAAAATACATCAACCCTGCTCTTATTTACTGCTGCTGTTTCAGTGGAGGCATATTGACACACAGCAGCCTGTCATTCAAATCTGTTTCAGCTCCACAAGGATCTCAACCCCCTACTAAAAAACTGTTCAAAACCATCCTTGGTAAGTGCTGTCTCCAAAGACGACAAAAACAGTTTGCCAACAAACTGCAGAATTACCGAAAAGCTCCAAGTCCATGGGAAAAAATGAGAAGTGGATATTTTTCTCCCGGCTTAAAGGCAGCGTTTGACTTTGCAGGGCAGGTCACTGAACCTAGATAAAAACAGAAGTGTATGTCATTGTTACTGAAATGAGAGAAAGTGTTTGCTCCTGTGGGAGAGATCCCAAGAATGTGGTGACCACTGACTTCAGAGCAGTCACCTAAAGATAAGGTACCAAGTCTCATCTTTAAAATACACAAGACAAATCTGGATCTGATTCTGAAAATACTTTCTACTTAGCAGAAGATACTTTCCTTCTCCTCTTCCCAGCCACAGTCTGGCACAAGGTCTACATATCTCCTAAACCCTAACAGTCAGGCATCCAAGTCTTGCTGGTATTCAGACCTTAGGATCTCTCCAACTTTTACATCTTCACACATTCCCCTGTGGGATTTAAATCCCGACACACATGTGCAGCTTACCCAGACTCTTCCTAAAGCAAACTGCCCAGACACTCCTATCCACAGCAGTCAGGGACTGCCTGAGAACCTGGCCATGTTCAACACTGAGACTCCCTACACAAAACCATCCCACAGAAACACTTGTTTGCTAAAATATGTTTTTCAGTCCAGCAATACCACCCTGTTCTTGGAGCAGCGAGGCAGCAACCTGCAGGCAGAGCTCATGCACTAGTCAAGGAATAAAACCAGAACCAGTCTTACCAACATAGTAATGGAAAAGCCTTTCTCCTACAATCCGGTACATATTAAGGAAGTCAGAGAGGCCCTGGTAGTATTCTTTGTCTGGAATCCATCGTGCCTCCTCGATATCTGTGGCATCGCATGCTGGGTAATACAGGCGCAAGAAGCTTCCCTGGGATCGAGAGGAAAGTAAAAAAAGCAATATTGGCATTTCTTTATATATGGTAGAGAAAAAGGGAAGATAAAATCATTTAGATAAAGGGCTTCAGATGCAAGAATGACAGCTCGAGAGATTTAAGAGAATCTCATGAGAAAAACATTATCCTATACAGGCTTTGATGCCAATTCACTTTCTGTCCCTAAAATCAATTTAAAGTAGCATGAGATGAACATTTTCACGGGTAGAGATGCAAATCACCTTCCCTAGATTAGCCTATGGCTAATTCAAAATGCTCCCTTTAACTAAGTTAATAATTTACAAACACTCACTACCTATTTGCTCCATTTATGCATCTTGCTGGATCTTTCCTTCCATCTTTCTCACTGGGAATGGTTCTATGATGCAGTTTTATAGGGCTGACTGTTAAAGGGGTGACTGAGGATGATCTGAGAACTGAAGCATCTCTCCTAGGATGACAGGCTGGGAGAACTGGGGATGTTCAGCCTGGAAAAGACTCTGGGAAGACCTCAGATCACCTTCTAGTACCTAAAGGGGCTCCAAGAGAGCTGAAGAGGCACTTTGGACAAGGGCCTGGACTGACAGGACAAGGGGTAATGGCTCTAAACTAAGAGAGGACAAGTTTAGATTAGATATTATGAAGAAACTCTTTACTGTGGTGAGGTCCTGGCACAGATTTCCTAGAAAAGCTGCGGCTGCCTCATCCCCAGAAGTGTTCAAGGCCAGGTTTGATGGGGCCCTGAGTAACCTGGCCTAGTGAAAGGTGTCCCTGCCCGTGACATATGATCTTTAAGGTCCCTTCGATCCCAATCATTCATTCAGTGATTCCATGAATCTATGACTTTGTCCCTTCGCCCTTCCAGCTGGGAGCTGTCATTGCTTTCCTTGCATCAGTGAGTCTCACGGAGCTGTTACTGACCCAGCTGAGTTTGCTAAACTGGGGAAAAGGACCCTCCCGGACGTATATTGTTCCACTAGGTTAGCAAGACAGATTTTACCCTGAGACTAATTTCTGGAAGTGTGGTCCAGCAGAGGAGGTGTGGCACGGGCATGGTCTTGTGGCTATAGTGTTCCTGGCTAAACTGAGCAGAGGCTGTCTGTGAAGCTCTTGGGCAGCTGCACAGCAAGGGAACATAATATATTGTTCTTCCTCCTCAACAAGATGTTTACAAGTCTCCAGTGGTCCACCTTTCTAAACACAACTTTGCTAACCTGTGCTTTATCTGCCTCTGTTTCTTACAACCAGTTTGAATCTTCTTTTACTGTCTGCACTCCAGGTCTCCCAGGAAAGCACCTAAGCTTTCCACACTCATATGGACCCTTCACACTCCCTTGTCAGTCCTTTTCCTTTGCAGACAGCAGCGATGTACCAATGGTACACCTCAAAGCAGAGTTCCCAGCAGACAAACTTTGTGTAATCTGCATTCTTACTTCCTGGTTTGCAAGGGAATTTGCGACATGCTACTCAAATTCACTGTCTTGCTCCAACTGTGCTTTTGGTTTAGCAAGTTAAGATTAGGGCCAAAATAAACAAGAGCTTTAGAATAAAGCCTGATTTCTTGAATACTAATGTGTCAGTTTACCAAAAGCTTGTTTAATGAAGCTTGTTTCTATTTACTCGTCAAAGTTAAACCAACCTTTGACACAAAGACCATTAAGGAAGAAGCTTTCTCCATACTGGTAAAGATACTAACTTGATCTCAAAGTAATCCCAGTGAACTTCCCCAGTGACAAACTGCTTACCAGAAAAGGAAAGATGTTCATTATCTACGCTTGAGAGAACTGTAATTGTTCAGAATGCTTATCTAAACAAAAACACACGGGCTGATTGCAAAGAGAAACTAATTGCTGCTTTGTGCTAATACAGAGTAAGCTCAGTAAAGAAAAACACGAACATCCACTACGAACTGATCACAAGCTCCACTATGGCTAGTCTGAGGAGTAAAAACCATAATGTAAATGCAGGTGTATTGTCTAAGAAGCAAAAGGATTTGATACAGAAACCCACAAGCGAGATCGTTTGTCTACTTACCTACTTATTGTGCTCATCTTCTTATCGCGGCTTCTCACTGTGCTAACCTCTTATAGAACTGACATCCTGTTCTCCTCAACAGAGATAAAATCTCAAAAAGACATCTCACGCTTGGCCCTGCAGCTGAAACACTGCATGCCCTCATCTCCCAACACTGCCAAATCCTGTTGGGACCTCTGTGATGAGAACAGCTACAGTCACGGAGACTGCATGTGGAGTCTCCTCAGGAGCCCAGTGCAGGAGGGAGTGGTGGGATGGGTGAGAAGAACCCCATGGTCCCAGAAGGACAGAGTTTCTCTGCAGTATCTTGAGTAGGGGAGTCAGAAAGAAAAGGGTATTAGGGGGAGGGAGGAATTGGCCATGGGGAAGGCTTGCAGGTTACATCCATCTAGTAAACGCCCAGCACACATCCTACATCCTACACCAGGATGGAGAGGATAGAAAGCTCAGCTGTGAGTGTCAGCACGGAGCACACAGACAAGACCTTCTGTGTGATTTCTCTGTAAAACTACAGCAAGTTGTTTCACTAACACTGTGGCTTAAATCCAAAAGAGAAAGAATCAAGAGCTTTACCTCAACTGCATTTTCTGTCATCAGGTCTGTACATCCGACCGAGTGTGGCCCCTTTCCTTCAGGAATCCTGTAAAACCTCTCAGTGTTGCTGGTCCACATTTCCATTGGTGCCTTCACTGGAAAACCTGGAGGAAAGCACAAAGCAAATCAGGAGAGGGCCATGGCCCCTGTGACCAGATCACCCACCCTGAAAACAAATCCAGTGCGTTGAAGTTCCAGGAGTAGGAAATTCAAGACTTAGCCGATGCATAAATCTGCTTATGAGACTCAGAGAAATCCCGAATCACCAACCTGACCTGTTCTACTGGGGAATTTCCTTGGAGTATCCTGAATCCCAAGGATCAGACAGCATCGCGCACTTACAGAAATGTGGGATGAAACCTTGGGCTGGGGAGGCCGCGGTGGCACTCGGGAGGTCTGCGGTGCTACGAACCGCAGAGAGGAAGGATTTTGCGGCTCCTCAAGGAAAACCGGCCTATGCATCAGGAGGAGCGGGATGTCACGGAGAAACACAGCGCCGCTGCCTTTTTTCCAGGAGCAATGACGAAGCCCGTGTTCGATCCCTGGAGGGGCAGGGCCGGGCTGCCCGTGCCGGAGCTGGTGTCGGGGCGGTGCGGTCGTACCTGGGGTGACCCCTCCGAGCCGGGCTGGCCCCGGGGATGCGCCGAGCGCGGGGGGAAGCACCCGCATCCCGGGCTGGGCGGCGAGGAAGCCGCTCCGGCCACGGGGGTGGGCTCTATCCGCTGCCTTCTCCTTCGGGAAGGATACACGGCACCATCTCTAACCCACCGCCCGTCCGGGCTCGGCAGCCCCGGGGCGGGACTCACTGCCGGGGCGGGACTCACTGCCCGGGCGGTGCCAGCGGCTCCTCCCCGGAAAAACCGCGGCGTGGGCGGCCTCTCTTCGCCGGAAAGGCCCCTCGCAGCCGGCGGCGCGGCCGAGCCCGAGTGCCGTCAAGATGGTGCGGAAACTGAAGTACCACGAGCAGAAGCTGCTGCGGCGGCTGGACCTGGTGAACTGGGAGGCGTCGGGCGGTAACCTGGCGGAGGTGCGGGCGCTGCGGCGGTACCGGCTGGGCCGGCGGGAGGACTACGTGCAGTATAAGGCGCTGGCCCGCTCCGTGCGCGCCCTGGCCCGGCGGCTCCGCGACCTGGGCCCGGCCAGCGCCGCGTTCCGCGCCCGCTGCGCCGCCGCGCTGCTGGAGAAGCTGCACGGGCTGGGGCTGGTGAACAGCCGGCACTCGCTGGCCGTCTGCGAGAGCCTCTCGGCCGCCGCCTTCTGCCGCCGGCGCCTGCCCTGCCTGCTGGTGAAGCTGCGGATGGCGCAGAACCTGCGGCACGCCGTCACCTTCGTGGAGCAGGGGCACGTCCGCGTGGGGCCCGAGGTGGTCACAGACCCCGCGCTGCTCGTCCCCCGCGCCGTCGAGGATTTCATCACCTGGGTGGACGCCTCGCGCCTGCGGCAGAAGGTGCTCGACTACAACCAGGAGCGCGACGACTTCGACCTGGCTGCCTAGGGCTGCACCCGCTGTGTGTGTATGGGACGCACAAACACACACACCGGTGATGCCACCGCCGGATATTCACCCACCCCTTCCAGAGACACCTGGAAAGGGAGCCAGAAGGAAACGGCGTTTCCAGTGTGGTATTGCCGCCCTCCTGGCTCCCCTTCACAGCTAAATGGCTCCATTCATCTGTGCAGAAAAAATTCCCTTCTACATCCACCACTTCAAGAATGCGTCCAGTGCCCCAGCTCCATTGTTGTCCCTGGTGTGGTCAGTGCCAGCATCCCTGGCGTGCGCGGCTCCATCATCATCCCAGTGGCCCAGCTTCATCATCATCCCTGGTGTGCCCAGCTTTATCATCATCCCTGGAATGCCCAGCTCTGTGGTCATCACAGCAACCCAGCTCCATCATCCCAGTGTGCCCATCTCCATCCTTCTTACAGCCCAGCTCCATCGTCCTTACATCCCGTAAAGCAAAAGTGCTTACTTTACCCAAAAAGTCTCTGCCCAATTGCAGGAGAGGATGTGGTCAGATTTAAGTGCTTGACAGCAAATATCAGCTGCTGGAAAGGGTTTTAAGCCCAGCCAAGGGGCTGATTTAAGACTGAGTTTGGCAGCTCAGCTGCTGTTTTTTGAGAGGTTGCCCTGCTGGTTCCTCCTTCAGCTCTTGGATGCACACGATTCAGAGTTGCTGCTTCTGGAAGGGTTTCCCCTTGATACCAAGCAACATGTATATAGGGGAAATGTGGGGATTGTTGGGGGTCAGCAGTAAACAAGGAGGCCAAATACTGCGTTTCTGGAACTGTTAAAGCTTTAGCTAAAAATGGAATAATAATAATAAAAAAAAAAGCCAACTTTATTTTCATGTGAAGATGTAAGGGGAAGTTTGATGTGCTGAGTTGTGTCTTTTCTGTGTGGGTCTCCAGCTGACACTTAGGAATCATTTACAGAGCAAGATCTAACTGGGGAGGCATTGGAGCAAAAACTGACCTAACCATAACTGCAAATCTGGTGGGAACTGCTGCATTTAGCACATCAGCCAGACAAAAACTGGTACTCAACGGGAACCTTAGGCTTTCTGAGACTGTTGAGAATTTAGTTTCTCTTTCATTAAAAAAAAAAACAGAAAAAATAAAGCTCTTTTTTTTTAAGTTGGTGGAGAAATGTGTGGACTATTTTATGATATAGCTTCTCTTGAGAGTTTGTTCTGATTTTTAATTATTCTAGCAAGCCACATTTGTCACTTTGTAGAACTTGTTTTTTAAATTTGAGGTCTTTTATGTAACTTACATAACCTTTTCTTTTTTTTGACAGCTACAAGGCTATTACTGAATTCTAAAGTGTTATTTGTTAGCAGTGCTTTCTTTCCGTAACCCAGGGCTATGAAAGGATTTGGCATTAGGTTTAGGAGCAGAGCTAATGACTGCCCATCCCAAATCCAAAGGGCTGGAGTTCAGCTGCCACTGAAGCTCTGGGTCTGTATGTTTTAATGTGATTTTTCTTAACAGGAAGATGTGCAGGTGAGGGGTGTTTTAGAGGTTTCAGAGACTGTCATATTATGGCTGCTTGTTAAAAGGCAAACTAAATGTTAAAATTTCTACCCATCTCATAAGGCAGCTGCATTAAGCAGAACAATAATTTATAAGGCAATAATAGATATTAAGGAAAGGACACTAAACGTACCGTGCTTATGGTAAGAAATACAAATTGAAAACACATTTTGCACCTGAAGCCTGACTTTTAAACACCTTCCCAGCTTTCCTCTCGAACAATGTCATTATTTCTTGGGAAATTCAGAAGGTGCCCGATTCAGGTACAGATAAAAATGGTGCTTTTGCTCTTCTTTACTCTTGTGGGGGAACTTGAATAACAACACAATGACTGTGCAGAGTATTTTACTACTCAGATGCTAAACTGCTTCTCTGCCCAGTGTGTCCAGCCCTTGAAGGAACAGCAGGAAAGGAAATATCAAACCTCCAGCCTGTCAGCCTCTGTAGTTTACACCATCAGCCCATTCTTTTTGTATTAAACCAACTTTTCATCCTTCATCTGTGCACCTCCAGCATCTGCAGCAGAAGAGAAGTGACCCAGCCCCCCAGTAGGCTGTTAAGTTAAGCATTGGGAATTCATTTCCCTATAGATACTGTGGGATAACAGCATCCATCAGCTCTGCTCTCCTCCTGTGGTACTGGAAATCAAATTCTTATGCTAAGAAATCAGGCTGTGGGTTTATATGTCTCTGTGTTTCAAGTCTGGAGTCTCAGAGCTGTGCTGGCTGTACAGTAGCTGAGGCCTGAGATGAGTGTCCTGCTCCTCAATTTTTAACAGCTGGAATCCTCACATGCCTCAGATGAGAGCTGGGTCCACTTAGGGTGTGACAAACAGGTAAAATGGAAGTTCCAGCAGCATGTCCTTGTTCCCTGATAGTGAATACAACCAGGGAGATGATGGCTTTCTCGTGTCTCATGGTGGTTTTGCCTTCAGTTTGTGGGTTTGAGTTTGTTTGCCGGAGCTGATGTGCTGTGGCTGCTGCAGGGCGGTTCCCACAGCGGTTCCGGAGCTGGGGATTGAAAGGGCACAGGAAGCAGCTCCGACAGCCTTTCCCAACACTTGGATAAACACAGAGCATTTTTTTAAATTCCAAGGCTGGATCCAATGTCAGTATAGATAGGCACCAGCTTCCATGGGTCTGTGTGGACTGGCATGAGGGGATGATCCAGCATGGAGCTTTTTTTGGGCCAAATCCTGCAAACTCCCCTCCAGTGCTCCAGGGATTTCCAGTGGGAGAGCTTATGCACACAAGAGCAGCAGGATGGGGCCTGGGTGTCACTGTGCTTCTTCCCAGCACTTTCTGAAGTGGGCTTGCTGTTCCTGAGGGGGCCCACCATCTCCATGAGTCTTGTGGAAAGTTGTTTGTGCAGGAGGAGAGAGGATGGTGGTGCTGCTGTTGGAGCAAGCTCTCCTTGTGCCTGACAGAACCTGATCATCGTCACCTTGACAAATGTCTGTCCCAGCAGCTGGGGACTGCAGAGGTGCTAGCTTCTCCAGCAAGGGAGAAAAGGGGTTCAGGGGGGTCTGGGGAGTGTGAAAACAATTGGCAAAGGATGAGCAGTTCCCAAGCAGGAGCTCTCACTTGGGTAGTGGGCAGCGAGAAGGGAGGTTTTACCAGGGCCTACGGTTTTAGATTTGTGTTTGGGCTTTTTTTTTTTTTTTCCTTTTTATTTTTTCTCCTTGTTGTTTTTTTTTTTCCCTGACCTTGGCTTTTCCTTTATTTGAAGGCTGACAAAGCAGGAGAGCTGAGCCTGAGGAATGTGAGGGAGCTGAAGGAAAGAGCCCTTGACACTGACGCCTTTTGTGTTGCAGAGTGTAAAAGGCTGAGGCTGTCACTGAAATGCTAATGTGTGATTTTTTTCACTGATCTGAGCCATTTATTTTCCCAGTAAACAAGCATGCTGCATGTTTTAAAGGCTGCTTCCATGCAACATCTTGGTGTGGCTTAGTGCTGACCTCAGTAATTCAGTGACAGCACATCCCCATGAGCACAGAGGCTGGGGAAGGTTCGTACATCCCCCTTCTTGAGATCAGAAATGGAGACTGAGAGAATCAAAGGTAGAGCTGGGCAATTCCTAAGTTTTCACATGAGGGTCCTGAATCCTGAGTTAGGCCACAGCTTTACAGCCTCATCTCAGGGCACTTTCCCACGCTCGTCTCAGTAGCACTCCCCAGTGAGATATTCCACAGTGGTCAAAGGTGTTACTGTCCCCTTCTTGAGCTCTGATTAATCTGTTTTAAGCACATCCCTCACCTGATTTCGCACTGCAGATTTAACCAAAGAGCCATTTCTCATCACCAGGGCATGGGATCACCTTAGTCCCTGCCCCAGATACCAAAACATTTCAACATTTGCAGGGTCTGGGGGAAAAATTACATGTAAGCACTATGACAGCATTTACCTGAGAGCCCCAGCTCTTGTCCCTCCTTTTAAATACCCCATTTTAAGGCTTAAAAAACTTGTTACCCTTTGCTTGCTGGTTTGGGCCTGCAGCAGGACTTAGGTGGTGAGAAACCTGTCTGCTATGGGGTTGGGGCATGGGGATGTCAAGTGGAAGCAGCAGGAAGCAGCTCCGTAGTCAGCAGGAGGAGGCACTTGGGTTCAGTCTTTCCATAAACTGTGGAGTTTTTGGATCCAAGACGTAATCCAAGTGTATGTCCCACAGCAGGAGCATCCCCTCTGACTTCTCTGCAGGCACTGGAGAACAGCCCCTTTCTCCATGGTCTTAGCTGATTTTGAAGAGATAAAATGTTTCACTGCCAGCAGGCAGAGAAGGGGGAGGCCACCCACTAAGGACATCGGAGATGGACTTGGTGTTATCTCCGTTTCCTGAGCTGCCTGTTAGAGATCTCGTGCGTAAGTCACAACAGCTCCTTGGCTGCTCTAAACATGTCAATGGGGTTGGTAAGTGCAAGCCCAGGCAGCACCACCACCCCCGGTCCCTACCTGGAGGAGCCACCACCTGGTGCTCCTGGAGAGGCTCGGGTGGTTGTGTCACAGGGTAAAGTCCAGGCAGGCTGTCCTGACGTCCACCAGTCCACTACCTCACCCCTGAGTTCATCGAGCTTAAAACACACCAGGAAACCCTTGTCCTGAAACCACCATCCCTCTGCCCACCAGCTCCAACAGCAGGTGGGGCACAGGGTTCCAAGCAGGTATCGGGATGCTGGGTGTGTGGGAGGTGAATGCCGTGCTGGCAGAGCACCCAAAACCTCCAGCTCTGTCCCTCTCAACCTCCCAGAAGTATTTAGGTGGGCAAGGACACTGGAGGTCACCCAGTCCAAGCCCCTGATCAAAGCAGGACACGCCTCGGGTCTTCACGTCTCCGTGAAGTGAATTAACTTTTCCCCTTCCCTCTAGACTTGAGTTTCCCCTGCTGCAGCCTGGCACTGCTGCTTCCCATCGCCAGGCTGGGCACGGCCGTGTCAGGAAGGGAGTTACTTTTCCCCAGCGGAAAATTCGCCCTGCGCTCAGCGGCGAAAGGGCATGTCCACCGGAGTGGATCCCACCCCTCCGCGGGGACGCACAGGGATTTTGAGTCAGCTAAAGGGCTGGAAGGGAGGAAGTGGAGAAACGCGATCCCTCGAGGATTAGGAACAGGCTTCCTGCAAGAGCCGGCTGAACCCAGGGAGAGGGGAGCGCTAATAACCTGTGTGAGGGGCTGCGCTGAAACCACCCAGCTCTTTAAAATCCCCCTCACGCCCCCGTCGCTCCTCCCCGTGCTCTCCCCAGACCCTTTTTCTGCCCTCGAGCAGCGCCCGGTGCTTCCCATACCTGGTGTGCGGTGTCCCGGTCGCCCTGTGCTCCCGTCCCGCCGTCCAGAGGGGCAGGACGGCCACCCAGAGCCCTGCGGAGCCGGGCGAGCGGCGGCTGCTCCCACGGGAGGAGGTCTGTCCCGCAGGCAGAGCCACTGCCGGGCTCTGCCCGAAGGGGAGGGACCAAACTTTGCCTTAGTTTTCAGCTGAGACAATCTTCCCGGGAGAAATCTCCCCTGGGCCTGGAAAACAAGTTTCTGGCACGGGGCCATCCCAAGCAAAGACTGCGCGTCCCGGCGGACCCCGCGGCCGCCGAGGTGACGGGCTGTGCCTCCGTGTGGCAGGGACGGGATCATATATATGGATTCTGGATGTCCCGGCGGTGCTGCCGAGCGTGGCGGAGTGGGGCTGGGTCAAGCACCAGGAACCCCAAGAGAAAATTTCCCCGGATGGGTTGCAACATCCCGCGGAGGAGCTGTGGCTGGACGAGGAGGGGGGACCAGCTGCGGGGGAGCGCTTTGGCTCAAGGTCGCTCCATAAAAAGCCGAATCTTTTCATCTGGCCTTAGGAGAAGGGGGTAGTCACACTCTAGGGAAACATGTCCCGCTTTTGGGTGCAACTTCTCGAGCGGTTAAAGCAGACTGAGCACGGGTCCCCACTGGGGGGGCAGATCTGAACTCACTCTCCCCCCTCTTTGCACAGCCCTGGCATTTGCCCCCTCGGTAATGCTGAATTCAGGGAATTTACCCTAAAACCAGCACCAGTAATAAAAGATTAATTTTATGAGAGATGAGCAGCTACTAAACGCCATATGAGCTTCAAAGGAAAGCAGCAGGGGAGGAGGGGAGGTAAAATTTGGCTTGGCCTAAATTGCTTATGACGTTGTCCTATGGATTGTCCCCTTGGAGAGCTGGTGAACTGGAGTGGGATCAGTGGCTTGTGTTCCTCTCCCTTTGCATGCCTGTGTGTAGGTATGATCTGAAGCTGGAAAGGAATAAGAAAGTTGTATGAAAAGATCCAAGAGTTTGTTTTTTTTCCTGTACTTTGGTCCAGCCCTCATTTCAGTGATGGACTGGATGTAATAAAATGTGACATTTTCAGGATAGATTTAATGCTGTTGAAATCTTGGAGGACAGCTCAGAACATCTCTGCTTAATCTAAAGGAACAGGTTTTTCAAGACTAGTGAGAGGCAATGAGGAGGAGGAGGCAGTGCACAAGTGATTGAAGTAACAGAGACATCTCAAAGCCAACATGTCTGTGGCCCACTAGGAGCTCCAAAATTTATTTTTTAATGTTCAGATATTCCCAGACATGCAGAAGTCAAACTCAGTAGAAGACAAGTATGGGTCTTTTTTTTTTTTGGATCTTGTCTGCTCAGTCCAACCACCTAAGACTGAAGCAGGCTGTAAATCCCTCTGACCCTTGTACTTCATCTTTTTCTTACAAAAAAAGTGGGGTGGAGATGATTCTATGTCCTTCCAACCTGGACTTGGGATGTGATTGGTATGTTTATGGGAGTTGGGAACAGAAAAATGGCCCCATCCATCTCCGGGTCAGGATGTAGCCCTTAGGAATGCAAACCTTCCCTCACAATCAGCCTCTGCGAGTTCTGATGTTGGTCCTTTCCAACATGCTGAACATGAAAATCACACTCTTTTCAAAGCTGTGAAAATTTCTCCATGAAGTAAATGCAGTGCAGAAACTGGAGCAAATCCTAAAATGCTTCTGGTTTATCAGGCTGATGGGACTAATTAGCTCAAGACCATCTATTAATATGGGAATATAGAAGTTTTCTCCCCATTGATTTGACCAGACTGGGGAAAATACTGCAGTTTCCATTCTCAGGATGATGAAGTAACCTAGTGATCCTTGCAATCTGCTTCGGTTCCCTACCAGCAAAGCAGCTGGGACCCCCTAGCACAGGTATAACTATTGAAATCTGAAGCCTTGCAGGGGCTGGAGATCTGCTTGATGGGGGTCTATTGAATGGGACTGTGGATGAGAATTTTAAGCAATGGGCCATAGCTCAATTATTTTCTAGAATCATGGAATGACCTGAAAGGGATCTTAAAGATCATCCACACCCCCTGCCATGGGCAGGGACGCCTTCCACTAGGCCAGGTTACTCCAAGCCCCACCCAACCTGGCCTTGAACGCTGCCAGGGATGGGGCAGCCACAGCTTCTCTGCCTATCTCTTTTTCTATAGGTTTTGTTCCTCTTATTATTATCCCTTATTATTATTTGCACCAGAGAACATCAGAGAAGATACTGGCACAGACGTTTCTGTTGTTGCAATAAAATACTACCAGTAACAGGCCTGCAGCACTGCCCAGGGAGGAGCCAGTTTCCATGGTTAGTGAGCACAACAGACCCGTTGCAAACGTTCACTGTGAGCTGGGTTTTAGCAGCAACTTCCTTCAGAAAGGCTTTAGCTACAAGTCCTTTATATAAATCCTTTATATAAAGGGCTGCACTTTGCTCCAGATTCCCATGACTACAGACCAAAGGTCACCATCAGTCTGCCATCACCGTATTGAAGATAAATTATAATTACTTCCCCCCCTTTCATTCTTTTTCCCTTATTTTCAGTTAAATCCTGGTTTCTCACAGTTCCTGTCTCTTTTTTATTCCAGGTGCTGCTTGATCTATTAAAACTGCCCTGAGAAGAGCTGATACATCGGTGAACACCCACCAAACACCTGTTGCTCTGTTGCCAGGCATCTTTCTGAAGGGTGCAGCATGACAGAGCTCCATGAAGCCGTGGCTCTGGGGGACTACCATCTGGTGGAGAAGATTCTGAAGGCAGGACGCTGCGACCCAAACCACAAGGATGTCGACTGGCATGACAGGACCCCACTGCACTGGGCTGCTGCCAAAGGTGAGGGCACCCTCGGCTGAATAATTCATGGGATTGCCATCAAAGTGATTTTTAGCTTTTTTTTCCTTCCATCACATGGAAATTTGTAATTTACATGGTACGTACATAGAGCATGACTGCTTGTCCCCCACTTTACTTTTCTAAGAGGTGACTCCATACAGTGCAAAGAAGTTATTTCTCGTGTACACCTGTGTGAATGAGCAGTAAGTAAAGCCCACTGTATTTATACCAGGTATTTATCAAACTCAATAGAACAAAATAATAACTGTGTTTTGCAGTGCTTTCCCTTTTTCTCACCTGCTTGAGTGAGCGACGCAGGACCAGAGGTGTTTGCAGCTCCCTTTTGGTCCTTCCCCTTCAGAAGTGTCTGTTAAAGTCAAATATCCCTTTACGTCTCAAAAAAGAGATGATGCAACAATATGTAATGTATAATTGTACACAGTGTAAAAAGGGGAAACTGGACCTCTGTTCCTCCATGCTGCAGTGTTTGTTACACACTGGTATCTCATTACATGCCATCTGTCTTTACTTAGAAATTAAGTGCATAATTTGCTTTTTGAAACTTGAGACCATGTTTTTCTTTTGCCTTGATGGATTGTTATGCATTTAGGCATCAGCAAAGGGAACTGAGCTACTTAAGAAAATAATGAGAGACTGACATTGCCTAAAGGCCATTTGGAATGACCTAGCTCAGTCAAGGCAGTGTGAAGTGGGCTAGAAATAATTTTTTGCTTCTCTAAGCAATTCCCCAGGTTAGAAAAATGAGAAGGTCAATGAAAACAAGTATTTTCTCTACCTCCTATCCAACAAACCTTTGTTTTAGTAAAGCTGTTCACAGGTTTCCCGTTCTTTATGTTTCAATTTTATATTGCAACTAAAGCAAAATGTAACAAAGAAATAGTCAATTGGTCAAGGACTAATTGAAATATGCTGCTCAGAAATTAGAAAGCTTTTTGATCTAATCGTTGTAAAGTTCTTCTGGAAGCATTCTAGTTTGGGAAAAAAGCAACCAGCATTTTCTATTGAGCATCATTTATATGATAAAACAAATCATCAGGTCGTGGGTAAAAAAAATCTGTCGCCGAGGGAATTATGATCAGCTGTGCGTGGCTGTCTCCTGCACCCTGAAGGTACAAATTCTGATGCATGTTGCATGTTCTCTCCTCGTTTTGCTGCCCACCTCAAGGGCGGTCGGATCTGGTCAAGCTCCTCGTGGATCACGGCGCCCGGCACTGCCTGCGGAGCGACGTGGGCTGGACCGCGGCTCACTTTGCCGCCGAGTCGGGGAGGCTGAGAGTGCTCCGCACCCTCCATTCCCTGCACGCTGCCATGGATGCAGCTGACCTCTTCGGCGACACTCCCAAGAGGCTTGCGGAAATCTACGGTCACCAGGAGTGCTCCAGGTTCTTGGAAAAGTGAGTAGCGACGGCAGGTCCCACTGCGGCAGTGGGTGGGGCTCCAGCAGTGAAAATTAAACAAACTCTCCTATAAAGGAACAGAATATACACAGGGTGTCACTTATCTGTCCACCTAAAGCCCATTAAAGCCGTCACACACGAGCAGTGGGACATAAGCAAACACAGGTCTGTCACGGGGAAGTCATTGAGAAGAAATTCTTTTATTCCACTGCCTCCTGTGGTTTGCCTTGGTATGTTTTCAAAAGCGTTACCACTTCGTGACATCATTGTTTTCGTAAGGATATTACAGAGAGATTGTTAAGCAACAGAAATGAGAGCAACAGCCAGCAAAGATTAACCCCTTAGAGAGTGGTGAATACTGAAGACACAGGTTGAATTGTTTAAGAACAGCCCTTCAGCAGTTGTATGTGTGTATATATATATATACACGTATATCATCTGGCTCTTCCTATAGTAAAGAAAATAGCTATTGTATTTTTCACATATTTATTGAAAATTAGACCATTTATTCTGTTAATAGGATGGCCACATATTACTCCCAAATTTTGGGAAACTCCTTACTGTCTTAACTGTTTACACTTATCATTGTGGCACCACTTGCCATGAGAAATATGCTTTTAGAAGATTCCCAATTACCATTCCTGTTTTTCAGCCACTGGTTTGGCTCGCAGATATTTTCATCCTTGCAAAGCTGTTTCCCCGGATTAGGATGCTGTACTCCAGAGGTTTGAGCTGTGTCCCATACCTGCATCTCTCTGAAGCAGTGAGACAGATCACCAGAGGCCAACCAGCTTGTTCAGTGCAAACCACAGTCCCACACACTACTTGGTGTTTAAACACTGCCTGTGAAACCTGCACGTGCCAAACCCTGGAATGCTGAGAGCTCCCTAAATCTTTTTCTCCCCTGGGTCTTTCTGTTAATTTTCAGTCCTGCCATAGTCCTTCACTGGCATCTCTTTTACCACTGCCACAGTTTCAAGACTACTTCGGCACCACGTATATCCTGGACTTTTTTTTTTTTACAGACACATACCCAGCTCAAAGTCTCCAGCTTGCCAGTGCAGCACAAGAGCTGCCAAGTTAAAAATCAGGCATGGTGACTGAGCAAATGTCTAAGGAGGCCAGTGCATATATACCAAGTGCCACTTTTCTTTAATCCACATAAACCTTTCTGTAGGTGCTGCTGTCCTTTAGCTGTACTTCTATAGCTGTTGTTTCCTGATGAAATGCTCCATGACCACCTTTTACCTTCACACAGCATCAGTGTCCTTCCATAGGAAAAGACACCCAAACTGTGCAAAATCCCCCTGTACAAAGCCCAAAAAACTTTCTAGGGCAGACACAGGTTCTGGTTTCTAAGCTCTGGCTATTACGAAAGCTGCTAGAACCTTTTCATTTTACCTGCCCACCCAATACAGAACCATAAAATGCTTGGGAGGGACCTTAAAGCTCATCTCATTCCAACCCCCTGCCATGGGCAGGGACACCTTTCACTAGGCCATATTGCTTCAAGCCGTGTGCACCTTGGTCTTAAGCACTGCCAGGGACACCTTAGAGCTAAAGCCTCACTGTTTTTGGAGCTGACCTTTGCAAACCCTCACTATTCACCAGCTTCCTTCCACACAGAAGTATCAGCTCTTCTTACCCTCAGACATTCAGTTTAAAGACATTTAAACAACCAGCAGGGGGTACCTAAGCTTTGCTAAGTAGGGTCTTCACTATCTAGACCCTGGCTTTGTAGTAAAGCTCAGGTTTGCCAGTCCTTTGAGAATGGGGCCCTCTGTTCCAGTGGAGTTTCTCTTTATACTGGTTTCAGCTCTTGGCAGGCTTAGTTTCCAAACCAGCACAGGTAAATATTGTCTAAGCTAGAGAGTGAAAGTCTGCAGGCTTCTCTCCCTTGATGAATGATTTATAGCAGTTACTTACCTATTCAATGCTGTCCTTTTTGCACGAACCTCACCAGTAATTCCTGCCAAATCTGTAGCATTTGCTGTGCACTTGGCTGTGTATGAGGGCCATGGCAGTGAACTGACAGCAAGGGTAGGGGAATCGCCTGGACGAGGCCGATGGGCGATGCCTGCGGCAGACAGAGTCTCCTGGGAGAATGATTAACAAGCTGATTGACAGGATGATTGGCATCCTCATCTGAGACACCTTAGCAACAGCCTAGGGCGACTCAGGTAGCTGATGAAGGGTTTTCTGAGGTGAATGACTGATTTAAGTTGCCTTTCAGAGCCATAGGCTGGCCTGGCTCAGCCTGTAGAAACATAGCTCATCTAGGAGCATGGCTGGGAGAACTTAACTGGGAAGATGCTTTGAATGCCCATGCCTAGGACATTTTATAAGGCACACAAAGCCTTTGCAATCACCTCACAGCCACAACACAGCCTGTGGGCAGCCAAGAGTTTATCACTGTGACAACTGCAGTGCCTTCACCTCCTCATACCAGCAACCTTGGAGCTGGAGTAGCTGGCATTTATAGTATAGTTTTGATTACCTTCTGCTCCTTCAGATGTGCAGAAGGTCCCAGAGGTGGTCAGGCAGGGTCAGCAGCAGGGCAGTACCGACGTGTGCTGCAGATGGGGAATGAAATGTGTGCCTGCACATTTGCTGCACAGCACAGAGCAGGTCTGCACTCCTCTTACAGTGTCTTTGGTATATAAATATGAGGAATATTTTGTCAGTTTGGGGTATTTGCTTGTCATGCAAAAAGAGAGAAAAGGCAGGGTTTGCATTTTTAAATCTGAGGGTCTGTGCCAAATGCAGGGCTGATGAGCATATGTAAACAGGGCTATGAGTATCCAAATACTTCCTAAATCCTAATTCAGCCCCATCTAGCGCTACCTTGAATGATGTGTGTCTGTCCCCAGGTGTTGCCAGCTGCGTGAACTACCTGCCTGCCCAGGCTGGGCAACTGCTCTGTGCTGAGGACTGTTTGCATCCACATGGAAATATTACATGTATCAACATGGAAATATTATTAACATGCAAATATCGGGAATATTTTGCTACCAAGTATCTGTACGACTCACTGAGGTTTGCATGGACATGCAAAGGTTAGGAAACAGCCTTCAAAACAGCTGCTTCTGAATAACAAACACGTATTTTGCATCAGATTTGTTTTGCATGAAAAGGGCTTTACCCTGGTTGCTGTGAGAGCTGCCAAGGATGTTGCTGAGCTGGCACAGACACCCACAGCCCGTGCCAGCTGCCCAACCTCTCTGCAAAGTGCCAGCTGTTGAATCTGCACCAAAGGTTCCCGCTATCTGAGCCCAAAGCATATACTTATACTTATGTGTGTATAGATACATACATTTAGAAGTCTACAGAAAGAAGTTTCTTGCCCTTGGTAGCAGATACTTAACAGGAGAAAATAGGATAGTTCAGTTCAAAGGGGCCTGCCACAGAGATGGTCATTAAGGTCCCTTCCAACCCGAACCACTCTATCATTCTGTGATATAGTAAGCCTGTGTGATGAAGCTCATCAGTGTGAAGGCACTGGCTTTGCTTTGTGCTCTCAGTTGGGACAGCATTGCACTGATGTGAAAGAGCTGTTCTTTCACAGAAAAAAGTATTTTTTTTTTCCTGATACTTGATGATGTTTCTGACAGAGCTGCATAAATCCTGAGTGCCTACAAAATCAGAGCTCTGCAGTAGGAGGAAAGGGTTTGCCTTCTCTTGGACAAGACTTACACTTGGAGTTTCCATGTCCAGATCCTGGCAGTGGTGGGGCCCAGGGGGATCTCTGTGAGGAGGGGTTGGGACTGCACCATGCCGGGCACACTGCATGGTTTTCTCAAGTGTTACTGGCAGCAGGGTTTTAACCAGTCTGAGACACAATCCCTGACCCTGGAGATGGTCCCCTGTGAACAACCTGGAGGTGTGACTGTGCTGAGCTCACTCTTGTTTTCTCTCCTAGAGCAGAGGTGGAGAGCAGAAACTACCGCAGGACAGCTGCAATGAAAGGAATCCCCTTAGACCAGAGAGATGAAGACTGGGAACACAAGAAAGAGGAGCTTGGGAGAAACCCACCATGTTTTTGGGAGAACTGCACAACCTCTGCTCCAAAGAAAAATGGGAAAAAAAAGGGGAAGCAGTAGTTTGTCCTGTCTGTTTGGTGCCTCTGAGCACTTGCAATGCAGAGCAAAGGCACTGGCAGATCTCAGGTGAATCTGCAGGGTGACATACACGTGAATGGGGCAAGGAAATGGTCACAAGGACGTATCCTTGAGATATACCGTAAACAGTGTCCTTAACAGGGAAAACGTAGAAGTGCTTCTGTCCTTCTGTGTGTCTCTATGTATCACATCTCAAATATCAAAAAAACTGCAGAATATGTTTAAATATACCAATTCTCTAAATAACTGGAATGTTTAAACTTATTGAGATGACCAGCAATTACCCTTACTGTGAGGGAGGGAAATGGTTTCGCTCCTACCTGAATCACAAAAGTATCTGGGATTGTGGTTCTGCTTGCTCTGTTGATATCCGTGGCCTTTCCTTGTTTGCTTCTGGTCCTGCATCAACCAGGAGGCACTACAGGTGCCTGTAGCCTCCGGTGTTACCTCTCTCTTTTCTAATTCATGGGTTGTAGTTGCTTCTTCAGTTGCTTCTTCTGGCTGAAGCTGAGATGTTGATTTTGAGCTTTCACAAGACACATGGGTCCAACAGTCTGAATCTCCCATTCCTGTACCAGGAGAAGGGAAAATGTGCTCCTCCTTATTACTGCTTTGAGAGAGCTGAGACTTCCAAGAGTGTTGGAACACCGCCTTATTTTCAGAAGTACTCCCACCTATTTTTATATCTCTGCCCTTAGGAATGCTGTGAAACTGGTCCTGAGCTGTGCCTTTGATCATCAACACTTCCCATGGCAAAAGCATTCACTTCTCAATCATGAAAACTTGGCATGTGACCCAAAGCAGTTTTCCATACCTTACCAGCACTGGACAGCCCCTCCCATTGAGCTCTGCCATCTCTGCTGTGTCAGCTTCCCCAGGCTGGGCACATCACTGCATCTCTCCATCTGGGCTGTGCACCATGGCTGTGCTGGTGGAGAACGTCCAGGTCCAGCTGAGTGAGGCTGGTGCACAGAGCAGTGAGACTGTGCCGGGTGTCAAGTTCTCAGGGCTTTCATGGAGATGGCAGAAGGTATCTGCAGTGTGGTTTGCTGGGGCTGCCTTGTTTTGTGTGGTGCCATTGGCAGGGTGCTGGTTTTGCCTGCTGAGTGTTGTGGTATGTGAGGTTGTGAGGGATGATGTTGCATGGGATGTTATGAAATCAACTGGGACTGTCGTGTTATGGGATGAAGTGCACAAGCAACAGCAGGAAGAGAAGGGAGGTGTGGTGGTGCCTGTCCTTCAAGGCCTTTCAGTGGGGAGATGTGTGCAGATGAGATTTTTAAGATCTACCTCAGGACCTGAGCTGGTGAGAGAAATGACCAGTTCAGGTTCTGCTCTGTTGATGCTGGAACTATTTCATGTTTAGAGGACCTGCTGTGGAGGGTTGACCTTGGGCAGCTGCCAACCCCCCACCCAGCTGCTCCTTCAAACTCACCCATACACAGGGCAGGTATGGAACATACGATGGAAAAGCTCATGGGTCAAGATAAAAGAAAGGAGATCACTCACTCATTTGTTATTTTGTCACAACAAAACAGACTTGAATTAGGAAAATGAATTTAATTTATTGCCTACTGAAAACAGAGTAGGATGATAAGGAACAAACACAAAATTAGAAACCGATGTCTCCAATCCCCCTATTCATTCCAGACTCAGATCAACTCCACTCTGTCATTTCCAGCTTCTCCACCTCCTCCCCGTCAGCAGCACAGGGGGAAGGAGAATGGGGGTTGCAGTCAGTTCATAATGTGCTGTCTTCTCCACTCCTTCCTCCTCATGCTCTTCCCCTGATCCGGCACAAATCCTGTTTCCTGGGTATGTTACTGGGCCAGTGTTCATTAGTCAGTCAGTCATCTACAAGTAAAAGCAGACCAGGAGAGCAGTCACACAGCACGAGGCAATCCTGTTCTTGCAGGAAGTGGGGCAGAGAGGACACTCAGGGCTGGTGTGGGAAGTGGGCTCTGCACCCACCTGTGCACCCCACAGCCATTCCTGCATCGCTGTTTGTGCATCAGTGACCACCCCTGGAGAGTGACAGAGATCAACATGTTCACACATCAACCACTTATCACCCACTGCCAGACAGTGATACAGCTCATCATATTACGCAAGAACAGGGCCACAGCAGCTAGAAATGTAAGCTAAAATGGAAAAAACTGTTGTTACTTTAATTGTTTCAATCAGCAAACACCAAAGTGTTTGAGGAAAGTTTGCAGTATTGTTATTATCCTTCTTTATCCAGCCCATGTACCAGGACAAAATGAATTTTTCATTGACAATAGTTTAACTCAAAGAATTACCTAAAAGAAATTATAATTGAAAATATTTTATTTAAGCCACAATATTTTACTTCAAAGTATTTGAATGATATCTTCTTAATCTCAGTGATGAAGACTGAACATCTGTATCATCTACACTGCCTGGAGAGTTGCATTAGAGATTAAATGACTCTTTTTCTATAATGAAATATCAACATTTCGCAAGTGCTACAGCAGTTTTTCACAGTTCCTACCTCATGCAAACTTTGAACTTCACCTGGGGCAGAATCTTTAGCAGTGTCTTTTCCAGGTTGGGATTGCCAAAGATCAGAACAAGAGAATGAACACCCGGAAAAGCGTATTGAAATACTAAAATGAGAAACATCACAGGACTTTCCTTCTTCGTGGCATAAACCAGTTTCAAGATCAAATATGCAAAGTTGATGCTGTACATTAGTAAAAAGGAGAGAATAGATTTCATGGCTTTGATGTGGGCATCCATGCTGAGGTCCTTCATGGAGTTTGTCTGCATGTTGCGTTTGTGTTTCCAGAGGGAAAAGAGAAGCAGAAGGGCAGAAGAGGTGACTGCCGTGAATGAAACAGCATATCCGAGGCCAGTGATAAAAAAAGAAGGGAAAAAATGTTTATCCATTTTGATATTCGCTTTCCAAAAACTACCTCGTCCAGTGGAATTGCGGTTGTTGCAGTGTGGTTGATCAGCGATCTCATAGGCAATGATGCCAATAACCAGGGAGAAAAGCACTGACCCCAACAAGAGCAAGGGCACAATCCTGTCAATTTTTACTTTCAGGTAGATAAAGAAGCTGTTCTGGAAATTGGCAATTTTTATACAATAAAAGACACAAAGACAGGCTGAAAACCACAGACCGGAATGATTGAAAAAGCTCCGAATAGATATAAATAGTTGGAGTGTGGGGTGAACATAAAGGGAATGGGGATAAATGACTGAGAGAAAGAAGTATACCCATGCAATGCACAAATACCAAATTCTGGAGCATCCCAGTAACAGCAAGATCTTCTCATTAGAGTTCAAGGTTTTCTTTCTGACCCAAGACATGCAAATCACAGAAACAATGAAAGCATTTATCCACATGCCAGCAAATGCCTCAAAGGTGATGATGGTCACAGATGTGGCATCATATGAAGTGATATTGAATTGTTCTAGAGAGTGGCAAGCTTCCATCGTGGGAGCTGGGAGCAGTGCTGTGCTGGACAAGAGGGCTGTTGCACCAATGCCAAGCGCAGGTCAGCGGCTGCTGATCCCTGAGTGTCCCGTCTGGAAAGAGGAGCTTTATAGAGCTGCTGGTGGGGGGGATTGTGGTGCCGCTCCCCTTGAGAGCAGGGCAGGTGCAGGGATGTAAATGTGCTGGGTGTCCCCTTGCCTGGTGTCAGTGTTGCTGCAGTATTTGAATGTTGGTTCAGGCGGGCTGTGTTGGGTGGCACAAAGAGTGGAGATGTTTTTGTGCAGAGGTCAGGGTTGTGATTCTGTGTCTGACCCGTGTTTGATTCCTGTGAGGCTTCAGGATCTCTGGTTTTCTGTGCTTTGGTCACCTACAATGAGCAAATTAATTTTGGATGCAGTCATTTAAAATATTATTTCTTTTCATAGTTTGTTATATTGATGGACATCTGCATATTGCCTTGAGAGAATTTTCATTTTCTGATACAACCTGTTCTCTTCTTTATGCTTTGCTGTGAGTTTCCTCTCGTTTTGCTGAAATAAACCCAATAATTGGTGTAGCTGGCTTTTTTTACTTGTTTGTTTTGTTTCTTTCTTTCTTCTTTCTATACAGATGTGAGGAGGACAGATGTTATTTCTATTACAAGAGGTCTGAAGATGTAGTGCCTCTGCTGGGATTGTGCTTGTAAAGGGAATTTAAATGAAGATATTACACCAAAAGGACCACACTGGGACTGGATTTTGTGCTCAATTCTGCCTGAAGAATCTCACACCTTGAAAAAAAAATTAAAGTATGAATCAGAGTCTCAAATGCTGGGTTTTCAAAGCAGGACGATGTGGGTCAGGCGCTTGAAACATAGATATCTGCTTTTAATTCAAATCTATGCCCTCCAGCACCCCTTGAAAATAGGAAGGAACCTCCTGGTTTTTCATCTACCAGCCCATTCTGGATCTCCTTTTTGCCCCTCACATAGCACCAGACCTGTGTGTTTCTGCATCTCGATGAACAAACAAATGTACTGGGATCTGAGAAACATCACACACAGACCGAATTGCTTCCATCTGAGCTTGGCTCAGGCCAAACCTCTTCTTTTTCCACAATCCTTGCCTTTCTCTTTTATGATGGGAAATCCCAGGTGAGCAATCGTGGTTAGCTAACTACTTAGGCTCCTAGTTCCACAGTTTCTACTGGGAAAATCCATTGTATCCATAACTAAACTTTAAAAATGCTTGTAAGGTCCCAATTGTTTCAGGATGGAATCCTGAGAAACCGAACAAAAATCTCCTCTGGGCAGGTGTTATGAACTTGATATGGAAATCTTAATTCAATCCCAAATCCTCCTTAGATGCAGAAGGAGGACTACCATTTTATTCAGTGGCATTAGTTATTTGTTTGCTTGTCTCTGGGAAGTTGCTGTTTAAAGAGAGGTGGGTTGGTTGGTGAGGCAGCCTGATAGACTGTGTGGTTTTGGGGAAAAGAGATATTACTGATTGAGAGATTGCTCTGGCCTAAAGGGTTGTTTCTTGCATGTCATGAAGGGGAAGGAAGCATTTTTCAGGGTGTTATTATGAGAAATGAAAAACTGGCACTTGGCATGATGTAAAATGTCCCTCTGAGCCTGAGCTGGTGACAGAGATGAACAAATCAGATTCTGTTCTGTGGATGCTGGACCTATTTTAAATTTACATGGCCTGCTGTGTATGGCTAAACTTGGACACCTGCCAGACCCTCATGCAGCTTCTCCTTCACTCCCAGTCTACAACAGGGCAGGGGTGGAAAATAGGACAGAAACACGCGTGGGTCAAGATAAAAACAGAGAGATCACTTGCCAGTTACTGTCACAAGCAAAATAGACTTGGCTTGGGGAAAATTAAATTTATTGCCAATTGAATATAGAGTCAGATAATAAGAAGAAACCCACAAAGAACCCCTTGTCTTCCCCCCTCCTTCATCACAGGCCAGAATTCACAGTCACGTTCCCACTTTCTCCACCTTCTCCCCCTCAGTGGCAGAGTGTGACAGGGAAGGTGGGTTGTGGTCAGTTCATAATGTGTTGTCTCCTCCACTTCATTTTCTTCCTTTTCTTCCCCTGCTCAAGTGTGGATCCCATCTATGGGCTGCAGTCCTTCAGGATAAGCCAGTTTCAGCCTGGGGTCTCCATAGAATGCAGTCCTTTTGGGGAACAATCAACCCACCTACACTGACAGGCACTGATACCACTCGAAATATTACAAGGAACAGAACCATAGCAGAAAGAAATATAAACCAAAATAGAGATAAACCTGTTGTTTAGTTCAGTCCAGTCATTTCAATCAGCAAATGCCAAAATGTTTGAGGAAGGTTTGCAGTATTGTCATTGCCTTTTTACATACAATCCATGTGACCAGGGCTAAATGAATTTGTTATTGACAATAATTTAGCTCAAAGGTTTACCTGAAGTAATAATGATAATTTATTTAACTCATACTAATGGGGTTTTAAGAATTTTCTTGAAGTTTTCCTAATTTCCATGGTGAGGATAGTGTCATCCACACTACCTGGAAAGTTGCATTAGAGATTAAATGACTTGTTTTCTATAATGACATCCCAGCATTTTTCAAGGGCTCTGGCTTTTACTACAGTTCCTACCTCATGCAAACCTTGCACTTCACACAGGCCAGAATCCTTAGCATTGGCTTTTCCAGTTTGGGATTGCTGATAATCAGAATAAGGGAATGAATAACAGTAAAAGAGTACAGCAATACATAATTAAGAAATTTCACAGGACTTTCCTCCTCTGTGGCATAAACCATATTGAAGATCAAACATGCAAAGTTGATGCTGTACGTTACAAAGAAGGAGAGAATGGATTTCATGGCTTTGATGTGGGCATCCATGCTGAGGTCCTTCATGGAGTTTGACTGCATGTTGCGTTTGTGTCTCCAGAGGGAAAAGAGAAGCAGAAGGGCAGAAAAGATGAATGCCATAAATGAAGTGATAAACTCAAAGCCATAGATAAAAAAAGTGGGGGAAAAATGTTCCTCCGTTCTGATACTCACTTCTGAAAAATTTCCTTGCCCGGTGGAATTGTTACAGTGCTGTTTATTAGTGAGATCACAGATAAGGATTCCAATAACCAGGGAGAAAAACACTGACCCCAACAAGAGCCAGGGCACCATCCTGTCAACTTTTACTTTTAGGTAGATGAAGAAGCTGTTCCTGAAATTGGCAATTTTTATACAATAAAAGACACAAAGACAGGCTGAAAACCACAAATTTGAACACTCAAAAATGCTCTGAATTGATACAATTAGAGTATATGTGGGCGGAACATAAAAGTAATTGGGATAAATGATTGAGAGAAAGGAATATACCCACGAGAAGCACAAAAAACAAAACCTGGAGCATCCAACAACCAGCAGGATCTTCTCATTAGAGTTCAAGGTTTTCTTTCTGAACCAAGACATGCAAATCACAGAAACAATGAAAGCATTTATCCACATGCCAGCAAACGCCTCAAAGGTGATGATGGCCACAGATGTGGCACCGTATGAAGAGACATTGAATTGCTCTGGAGAGTAACAAGCTTCCATCCTGGGAGCTGGGAGCAGTGCTGTGCTGGACAAGGGGGCTGCTGCACCACTGCCAAGCTCAGGTCAGCGGCTGCTGATCCCTGAGTGTCCCGTCTGGAAAGAGGAGCTTTATAGAGCCGCTGGTGGGGGGGATTGTGGTGCCGCTCCCCTTGAGAGCAGGGCAGGTGCAGGGATGTAAATGTGCTGGGTGTCCCCTTACCTGGTGTCAGTGTCACTCTGCAGTATTTGAATGTTGGTTCAGGAGGGCTGTGTTGGGTGACACAAAGAGTGGAGATGTTTTTGTGCAGAGGTCAGGGTTGTGATTCTGTGAGTGACCCTTGTTTGATCCCTGTCAGGCTTCATGATCTGGGTTCTTTTGTTCTTTGGCCACCTACACTGAGCAAGTTAGTTTTTGATGCAGCCATTTGAAAATATTTTTTTTTCATTATTGTTGGCATTGATGGAGGGCAGATCATCGCCTTGAGAGAATTTTCATTTCCTGATACTGCCTGTTCTCTTCTTTATTTTTTGGTGTGAGATTCTTCTGTTTTTTCTGACACAACAGGAAACACGGTACAGGGTTGGATATGTTTGTTTGCTTATTTCTTTCCCCTTCTCTCTGTATGTATGTGAAGGGAAAAAAAGTCATTTCTATAACAACCTGCCTGAAGATGAACTGTCTGTCCTGGGACTGCGCTTGTGCAAGGGCCCTTCATATGAAAATGTTACACCACCAGGACCATACTGTGGCTGGAGTTTGGGGTCATCTCTGTGTGGGCCATTTGGAACCTTATTAAAATAAGGTTATAAACATCAGAGTCTCACATGCTGGGGTTTCAGAGCAGGAAGATGTGGGTTAAGTGCTTGAAGCACAGGTGTCTGCTGCTGGTTCATATCCATCCCCTGCACCACCCCTTGAGAAGGGGAAGGAGTCCCCCAGACTTTGTATCTACAAGTCTGTGTGCATATTTTGCATGCCCTTGTGTGTCTCAAATGGCACCTCACCCCTGTGCTTATGCATCTGGATGGACACACAGTTTGTTGTGATCTGAGTCACATCACACACAGATTGAATTGCTTCCATTGGAGCTTGGTTCAGACTGAACCTCTTCCCTCCCTAGAAGCCTTTTCTTTCTCCTTTTATGACACAGGGAATCCCAGATGATCAGCCTTGGTTGGTACTGAATTTCTACTGAGTGCTTTGAGCTGGATGAAACCTTAAAGATTATTTCATTCCAAACCCCCTCCTGTGGACAGGGACACCTCCCACCGGCCCAGGTTGTTCAAAGTCCCATCCAATTAATCATCACTTACACTTCAATATTAAATTCTTCCCTGTTCATTGTTGTGGGGATGGAGACACACAAGGAAGGGAATGCCCATGGCAAGAAAACCCTTCAAAAAGAAAACTCACAAGACAAGGTTTTTCACCTTCACTTCAACTTTTCAAATTAGCATCCAGGGCTACTCATGTTCCCTGAGCAGAAACTCTTCCTCTGGGTCAATTTATAAAAGAGAGTGCAGTGAATCTACACAGTCCTTTGCAGTGTTGTCCTACAAGAAGGACATATTTGCTTTACTGGGGAAAAAGAAAATCTGAGAAGCTTCAGGAAACCTCTGATGTTTGGGTTGCACAGCTGGTACATGTTCTCCTTCTGGGAGAAAAAGAGCTAAAGCAAAACCTGCCAAAAAGCATGAAAAACACACTCTTGGCAGCTGGTGTGAGCTAAGATGTCACTCTGTGCCCGAGATGATGACAGAAATGAACAAATCATGTTCTGCTCTTTTTGTCTTGGAATTATGTTACATTTAGAGGCAGTTGGCTGACACCAGTTGTTGGGCACTTGCCAGGCCCCCAATAAGCTGCTCCTTCTCTCTTTTTCCACAGCAGGGGAGGGGTGAAAAAGAAGATGGAAAAGCTCAGGGGTCACGATAAGGAGAGGGAGATCACTCACCAGTTACTGTCATGGAGAAAACAGACTTGAATTGGGGAAAACGAATTGACTTTATTGCCTATAGAAAACAGAGTAGGGTGAGGAGGAAGATGCCCAAACCTAGAACCCCTTTCCTCCCCCCCTTCTTCTTAACAGTCCAGAATTCACTGCTGCACTCCTGGTTTTCTGCCCCCTCCCAACAGCAGCACTGGTGGACAGGGAGTTGGGGTTGCAATCCGTTCATAACAAGTTGTCTCCTCCAGTCCTTCCTCCTCATGCTCTTCTCCTGTTCAAGTGGGGATCCCACCCCTGGGCTGCAGTCCTTCAGGATAAGTCAGCTCCAGTGTGGGTTCTCCTTAGGCTGCAGTCCTGCAAGGTGCACCCACCCCACCTGCAGTGTTGAGCAGACAGTGATACAGCTGATAGTGTTACAAAGAAGGGAGCCAGAGAAGAAAGTTAAGCAAAACAGAGATAAACCTGTGGTTTGGTTCAGTTTTTTCAATCAGCGAATCCCCCACCATTTGCATTATTGTTATTGCCCTTTTGCAACCAAATCATTTGCATAATATCTAAAAGACATTACTGACAATAGCTTTGCTCAAAAAATGCTTAAATCTAAGGGTAATGATAATTTCTATTGCTCATTCTAATTTCAGTCAAGGTATTTGAATGTTATACTCTTAACTTCAGGGATAAAGAGAGAATATCTTTCCCTTCAACACAGCATTACAGGACTTGATTTTTATAATGAAATATCAATATTTTGAATGGGGATCCAGCTTTTATTACAGTTCCTACCTCATGCAAACCTTGCACTTCACACAGGGAAGAATCCCTAGCATTTTTTTTTCCAGGTGGGGATTGCTGAAAATCAGAATAAGGGAATGAACACCTGGAAAAGCATTTAGCATTATATAAATAAGAAAATGCACATAACTTTGTCTTCTAGGGACGTAAATCAGTGTCAGGATCAAAAATACAAAGTTGATGCTGTACATTACTAAAAAGGAGAGAATAAATTTCATGGCTTTGATGTGGGCATCCATGCTGAGGTCCTTCATGGAGTTTGTCTGCATGTTACAATTATGTCTCCAGAGGGAAAAGAGAAGCAGAAGGGCAGAAAAGGTGACTGCCATGAATGAAGTGACAAATCCAAAGCCAGTGATAAAAAAAATGGGGAAAAAATGTTCTTCTATTTGGATACTTGGTTTCCAAATACATCCTTGGCAGGTGAAATTGAGGTTTTTACAGAAAGCTTTATCGGTGACGTCGTAGACAACAGTTCCAATAACCAGGGAGAAAAACACTGACCCCAACAAGAGCCAGGGCACCATCCTATCAATTTTCACTTTCAGGTAGACGAAGAAGCTGTTCCTGAAAGTGGCAATTTTTATACAATAAAAAACACAAAGAAACGCAGAAACCCATATGTTGGAGTAATTTAAAAAGCTCTGAATAGATACAAATAGTGTAAGTGTGGGGAGAACGTAAAGGAAATGGGGATAAATGATTGAGAGAAAGGAGTATACCGATGAGATGCACAAACACCAAAACCTGGAGGATCCCAGAAAAAGCAAGATCTTCTCATTAGAGTTCAAGGTTTTCTTTCTCACCCAGGACATGCAAATCACAGAAACAATGAAAGCATTTATCCACATGCCAGCAAATGCTTCAAAGGTGATGATGGCCACAGCTGTGGCAGCATATGAGGTGACATTGAATTGCTCTGGAGAGTGACAAGCTTCCATCCTGGGAGCTGGGAGCAGTGCTGTGCTGGACAAGGGGGCTGTTGCACCAATGCCAAGCACGACTCAGTGGCTGCTGTTCCCTGAGTGTCCTGTCTGGAAAGAGGAGCTTTATAGAGCTGCTGGTGGGGGGGGATTGTGATGCCACTCCCCTTGAGAGCAGGGCAGGTGCAGGGATGTAAATGTGCTGGGTATCCCCTTACCTGGTGTCACTGTCACTCTGCAGTATTTGAATGTTGATTCAGGCGGGCTGTGTTGAGTGACACAGAGAATGGGGATGTTTTTATGCAGAGATCAGTGTTGTGATTCTGTGAGTGACCCTTGTTTGATCCCTGTCAGGCTTCATGATCTGGGTTCTTATGTCCCTTTCACACCAATGATGCTCTTGCTGAGCAGGTTGTGCACTCAGCAAAGCACAGTCAGGAGAGTCAATGTGCTTTTTCATCCAAGAGTCCAGGAGCTGCAAAGTTCTACAAAGATGCTGAAAACCTGGAGTTCCTTTTGATCCTCCACAGGCATTGAAATCCATGATACTTTCCCATAGTAATGCCTTAAGATTTTTGAAGACCCACATAGTGTGATGGGTAGGTAGGCAGTGAAAGGAAAGCTGGATCTTTTTTCACAGGGTTAGGTTAAAGCATATGCAAGAAATGGGTAAAAAGCATCATGAGTCCCTATGCAAGGGTTCAAATCTCATCTGCTTGCAATATGAAAAGTTTTAGGGATGTGACCATGCTGGGTCCCTCCCTC